TCAACTCTCCTACTCCCAAAGTGTGGCCGTTACATTTACATTTCATTCTCGTTTGTATGCCACCTTTTTTTTTCTGAAGAAGGAAGGATCATGGGGGGGTGGGGGGTGGCGGAGGATCTTATTCCAAATCACAGAAAGCTTAGAATTATCTCATTTCTCTAGTATAATATAACTAAGAAACAACAGCAAAGCCCAGGCCCCTTCTCCTAGGAACATGGCTACATTTGACAGCGCAGTTAAGGAACTACTGAGCCAAATAAATGTTCGGAATGGATTTTATCAAAGATAATATAAACTAGTCTCCCTTTAAGGAGCTCTCTCCATGTGAAAAACTTTCCTCCAAGAAAAATTTTTTTTTTAAATGAGTGTGAATGTACAATATAAAATCATCAATTCTACAACCCATGAGAAGTAAATAAGAAAAAAAAATAGCTGGCAGTGCCAGGAATCGCGCCACTGAAATTCAAAATTTGCTTTACATATTGGGACATTATCACAAGGACTATGGCTAAGGCTCTTGCTCTCTTCATGAAAAAAGAAATACAGAAATGAAGAGCCTCTCACCAAACAGTAGATTAAAGTTGGAAAATGAGAAATATTGTTTTGCTTTATAAAATAGCACATCATTAGACTACTACTCTGTGCTTCATGAAAATCACTTTTCAAACGTATCTGTTCGAAGTACATACTCACAGAAGAAAATTATTTTAAAAATCAGCTTCGATCATAATTCTTGGGAAAACAACACGTGCAAACAGAAGGTGAAGGCTGAGGATATTCTAACCTCCTGACAAAAAGAAAATATGAAGGAAAGAATTGTTTCTAAACACACGAATTCGGTGTGTGCACAGTAAATTCTCTACGCCAGTTACGGACTACAGAGACGTGTGAAAGGAGTTGGGGTACTCACACAGATTGCAGTGTGCCGGAAAGGAAGTGTGGCCTTCTCCACGCACTGTCCATTGGTGACATTCCAAATCCACATCTCCCTGGCAGAGATAACTTCGCATTATTCTCTGTCATTTCCACTCAATTGGCTGGAATAATTTTTGTGCCACCAAGTTTGACTTTAGTGCGGTACTTAAGTGCAGCCTGACCGTTTATGTGGCTTTTTGTTACAGATTACTGAGCCAGAAAACGTTGTGGTCGTTAGCAGAGGATGACACACTGTACCTGTGCCTTTTTGTTTGGTTAATGACACCCTGCCACCAGCCTGCCAGCCCTCCTTTAGGGCTAAGCTGGCCTAGAACGATTTGTGGGGATGCAGCCATCCTGGTCCCTGAGAGTGACGGACAGGACAACAAGCCTGCCATCAAAAGTGCATCCGCTTGAAAATGGTGTCTCTCACTGGACTTAAACTACATACTCTGAAAAGCATATTGCATCCAGTTACAGCTGTACCCAGAAGTGAGAAACCGATTCTGTTAAAAATAAACAGTGCCACCAAGAGGCCACATTGGGACTGCCGTGACAGTTTACTTCTTTGCTGCTCCTCTAAAAGCACCAGACCAATGCATCTTGAAATCAGCCTTGCCACTAATATTGAGAAAACTTTAGTTCAGAAAACTAACTTATATGTCCATATATTAGCAAGGATAAAGATTTCAGAATAAATGAAGTCTGCCTGATTTATGGTCACGAAGACCAATAGAGCTGTTTCAGAGTTATTTGGCTACTTCCTCAATTTTTACAGTTTCAATACACGAAAAAAACTTCCAAAAAAAAAGATAAGCTTGATTCGTTTATAGGAAAAAGCTATTATAAAGAACAAAATACAAAAAGGCTTCAAAAGTTCATCAGAAAACTCTATTCTCTTTCAATTCCATTTTTCCACAAATCTTTCAAAGCCCTCTCATGTATATGGTCTAATATTGTTAAATACTACAGAAATTTGATGTTTTGCTGACCTTTAAAAAAATAATCACTAGAATTCACTGTTCTAAGTCAACTATGCTTAAACTAGGGCAATTTTTCCCCACAATGGCTAGCTAGCAAAAATGAGGCTTTCTACTCCAGCTAACTCTCAGAAACACTCAAAGGGAATTCTATCCTGTTCGCTGGGGTCACAATGAGTCAGAATCAAGGTAATGGCAGTGAGTTGAGTTTAGTACAACTCTGGGACTATCTGTAGCACTCTGGTTAGACTGCAAACCACAGTTCAAACCCACCAGACGCTTGGCGAGAGAACGATGAAGCTTACTGTTCCCATAGAAGGTCTACAGTCTTGGAAACCCTCTATAGGGTCTCTATGTGTTAGAATTAATTAAAGGGCAGTGTTTTGTTGTTTGTTTGTTGGTTGTGGTGGGTTTGGGGTTTTTTTTTTTGGTTTGAGGATATCTGCAGTTGTTGCAACTGGGGCAATATTACTGGCATCCAGCGAGCAGAGACCAAGGATGCTGCTAAACATCCTACGATGCAGAGAGCAGCCTCCTGACCAATAATTATCACGAACAATAATGTCAATAATGGCAAGTGTGAGAAATAGGTTTTTCTTCTTTCCCTTCTCCACTGTTTAAACCTAGCCTTGTTCCCAAAGGTCCTTTAGGAAGCTGAAAGGAGATTGTGGTGGCTGTTGTTGTTGCTTTCAGGGGTTGCCAACTCAGTTACGACTCATAGCAACCCCAAGTCCCTCAGAATGAAACACTGCCTAACACGTCACCATCCCCACAGTTGTTACATTTGAGCCCATTGGTGTACCCCTGTGTCAATTCACCTTGTTGAAAACCTTCCACTTTCAACTGACCCTCTACCAAGCACGATGCCCTTTATCAGGGACTAGCCCGTTCTGATACCGTCTCCCCAAAAGTAAGACATCCCCCGAAAACAAGACCTACTTACAGTTTTGCCTCTTGCTGAAATATAAAGCATCCCCCTGAAAATAAGACCTCCCCAAAAATGAGGCCCCCCAAAGCTACCATAACTCTGGACTGTAGCAGCGGGCACCACTGCACAGCTCACTGTTGGCCGCAGCGCAGCCAGAGCAGACTGGACGTGTGAGGTCTCTTTTAATAAAACAATAAATGTGTACCGTATTCTTCTTCATGGAAAAATAAGACATCCCTGAAAATAAGACCGAGCGCATATTTGGGAGCAAAAATGAATAGAAGACACTGTCTTATTTTCGGGGAAGCAAGGTAACAAAGTATGGGAGACAAAAGAAAAGTCTCACTATCATCAAGTCCAAGAAGACTCAGGCTGTATTCCCACCATGACACATTTGTTGGTTCTGGGAATCCAAGGTACTTGCAAGATTTTCCGCTATCACCGTCATTTAAATGTATCAGTTTGTCTATGGGCTTCCTTACTCATTGTCCAGCTGTCACTAGCGTAGGAGGCCATTGAAAATGCCACATCTTGGGTCAGTCAGACCTCAGTCTTCAAACGGACATGTATGCTCTCTAACACTTTAAGGGACTTGGGGGCAGCCGATTTCCCCAATGCACTACATGGTTCAATTTCTTGACTGCTACTTCCAAGAGGGTTCTTTGTCATAGTGGATCCAAGTAAAATGAAATCCTCGACAACGTCAATATTTCCCCACTTCTCAGCATGATATTGTCCACTGGTCCAGTTGTGAAGATGTTCATTTTCTTTATACGGATGTTTAATCCAAATGAAAGGCTGCAGGCAGTCTTTCATCTTAATCAGCAAGTGCCTCGAGTCCTCTTCAATCTCAGCCAGCAAAATTCTGTCATCAGCATATTGTAGGTAGTTGATGAGCCTTCCTCCAATCACATCATTCAAGTGCTCTGATTATTTACTCAGCATACAGTTTTGCTAAGAAAGGATACAACCCTGATGCACATCTTCTGTGATTTGAAACCATACACATGAGGACAACTAAATGTTCTGGAATTTCCATTCCTCCCAGTGCTATCCATAAATAGTTATGACTCACACCGTAGAATGCTTTTGTGTATTTAATAAAACACAAGTAAACTTCTTGTTATTCTCTGACGATGATGTTCCTTGCCCAAAGCCTCTTCTGAGTGCTGCTTAAATTTCTGGCAGTTCCCTGTTGATGCACCACGGCATCCATTTTTTAATCTTCTTGAGAAAAATAATTTACTTGCCTGTAACATTAATGACACTTTTGATACTTTCTGAATTCTGTTGGGTCACCTTTCTTTGGGATTGTCCAAATGGATCTCCTCAGTCAATTGCCCAACTAGCTGCCTTCCAAATTTCCTGGCATAAATTAGTGAATCAGTTTATTGAAACATTTTAAGTGGTAATCCATCAATTCTTGGAGTCATATATTTGGTTAATGCTTCAGTGCAGCTTGGTGTTCTTCATTAAGCATCATTGGTTCTTGGGTATATGCTACTACTATAAATGGGTAGGTATTGACCAATTATTTTTGGTATAGTGACTCAGTATTCCTTCCGTTTTCTTTTCTTTTCTTTTTCTTACTGACAGGATGGGAGAAATGAATCTTGAGAGAATGATATGATTTTTTGTGTGTGTTCAAGCCTTTTTTTCTCTTGGTAATAGGTTTGAGATGCAGTAGCTACAGACACTATTATAACCTTATTTTTCCCAAAAAATTAACGATAACTAAAAGTTCTTTAAGCAGGTGAATTATGATCATGCCTACAGGATTATAAACTGTCAAAAGCCATATGTTAAAACATTGAAAGAGTCAAATTCTGATTCTCATGAGTATTAATTATCTAATTTGTGACTGTGTTAAATTATTTATATACGTTTATATATGCTTGATGGTAATCTTTAGCATCATAGTTGATTTTCCCATATATCTATATATATTTCTTATTTGATTCATTATTTTACTGATACAATCCTTCTGTCTTGCAACTTGAGACTTAAATTTCTCTTTAGTTCTTTCAGCTTGAGAAACCCTGAGCCTTTTGGCTTTCTAGTTCCGCATTGTCCATGCGCTGTTTCACTTGGTCTTCTCTAGCCCTCCCATGGGCTTCAGCTCCTCTGGGTCCAAGAGCAAGTCCCAGAGTGTGTCTTCTGATATTGACTTGATATCGATCTTTTCCTGATTTTCTGTCTCGTGAATGATGTTCTGCTCTCTTCATTTATGATGGTATTGATGCCATCCCCTGTCAAAGGACAGGGAATTCTATAGAATATCGGGGTGAGGTGGGTGGGCTGTATACGCATATGTTTCTAAAAATAAAACTGGGAGAAAAGGCTAAACAAAAGTACTTCAAAGGGATAGATGTTGTTGGATTTAGTTCAACCTTAAATAACAACACTGCAAAATATTAGCTCATCCACTGTAAAGGAGAGGTTGGCATTTGAGGGTCTACATCTCCACTGTCACATCAACAATCACCTGTGAATCTTACAAAAGTCACTAACATCTGGGTCCTACCTTCAGTGATTCTAATTCCATAGCTCCAGGTTGAACTCTTGGCAAGCGTAGTTTTTAAGTCCCTTGTGTGTCGATCTGTCTTTAAGTAAGTGTGGTAGACTGGGTAGACTAGAGAAACAAATTCATCAACACGCAAATGTGTATGAGAGAATTTTATATAAAGGGTAATTGTACATTAAGAAAGCAACCCAATCCAGTCTAGTCCAAGCCCATATGTATGATATCAATCTATAAAGTCCTCTTCAGACTGACTCATGAGACACAAGCAATGATGCTAAGTGCAGGATGATCACAGGCCAGTGGGTAGAAAGTCTTGGATCCAGTGGTGTTATAAGCATCTCAGTGCTGGCAGGAGTCTCCATGTGGCTTCTCCAGCACCCACAGCTGCATCAGGGTAGGTCCATGTGGCTTCTCCTCAGGGATGTCTCACAGGGAGTCAGTCTTGTCATAGAGTCTCCAAGGGAATGAGCAGAGGAGAGTGTGTCTCCTACCTCCCAGCAGTTCCCAGAATCCTTAGGAGAAGGCATGCCCACACAGAAGTCTGATTGGCTATCTCCAGATTGACAGACTAGACTCCACCCCTACATTCTTAATCCTCAAATTGACCAGCTTATGTAACTACCACAGTAAGTTTCTCTCCAGGTCAGTGGGTCAAAACTCTGATGGACTATTATCAACAGAGGGCTTTACATATATTTTGAACTCTGGGATCTAACCTTAACTGCATATTAGGCTCATTATATCACATTTCTTCAACTGGGACCCGGGCTTCTGAAAAAGCTCCCCCACTGATAGTAATGAGTCTAGACATATTGGATTCCAAAGACTTTCCCTGTTTATTATTTTATTTTCTACTTCAAATTTG